GTTTAAAAATGAGCAAAGGATTTGAGTAGACATTCAAAGATACAGAGATGACCAGTAACCACATAAGTTGCCCGACATCATTAGTCATTAGGGCAATGCCAATCATCCACAATGAGACACCATTCTACATGCACCAGGACGGCTCTGGTCATAATTTTTTTTTTTTTTTAAAAGAGAGAGAGAGAGAGAGAGAGAGAGAGAGAGAATTTTTAATATTTATTTTTTAGTTCTCGGCGGACACAACATCTTTGTTGGTATGTGGTGCTGAGGATCGAACCCGGGCCGCACGCATGCCAGGCGAGCGYGCTACCGCTTGAGCCACACCCCCAGCCCCTGGTCATAACTTTAAAAGGGCGACAACCACCACCGAGAGGATGTGGAAAAACAGACCCTCACACACTGCTGGCGGTGATGTAAACGGTGTGGTTGCCGGCACAGCAAACTGGCAATTTCTCAAAAAGGCAAAGAACATGGCCAGACACCTGCACTCAGGATATACCTAAGAACACGTGTCCTACGAGAACTTGTGCACAGTGCTCGTGACGGTACCATTTGCAACAACCACAGTGGAATCCACCCAGAGGTCTATTAACTGATGAGTCGATGAGCAAAAGGTGGCACAGACACGGAGGGTTGGCTGCCCAGCCAGACATAAAAGAATGAGGTGCTGATACGTGGACACTGTGTAACGTGAATGAGCCCAGAAACACTCTGCCAAGTAGGAAGCCAGACGCAGATTGTATGGTTCCGAAAGTCCAGAAGAGGCAAATCCATTGAGACAGAAAGCAGCCAAGCAGGGGCTGGAAGGAGAGGGACTGGCCAGGACTGCTGGTGTGCACAGCATCTCTCCTTACAGAGATCAAAATATCCTCAAATCAGACAGTGGCAACGTCTGTACAGCTTGTAAATACGCAAAAAACATGGGATTGCACACCTAAAAAAGGGCCGACCTGGGTGTGGAGGGCCTGTGGTACAGCAGCTGCCCCCTCCTCTGTGGCAACAGGGCAGACCGGGAGGTGGCTGCTGCTCTGCCTGGTCTAGGAACTTGGGTTGCCCACCGTCTCCACCCTGCCCACCTCCCCAGTCACAGGGTCTACTGCCCCTGAGGACGTTAAGGTATAATGTCCCATGGCATGGGGTTACTGTCCAACTTCTGGACTCTCCTCCTGTTTCAAGAGTCCCTTCTACAGAGAAAGCTGCATATACAAAACAGAAACACACTTTCTGAAGGAAAAACTGGGATCTTTATGTACAAATCTTCCCTCTCAATTATTTATGGTGAAACTGTATACCAAAGGTACAGAATAATGACAAGTAACACTTTCCTGTAAGCCCCTAAGTAGGGGTGGCAACTAGGCAGAGGTATGCTGGTAAATAGGCTTTAGGGGCATGAAAAAAGAAGTGTTTGCTGGTATCTGTGGTGTCAATAAGTTCCATCGTGGCCAATTTCAAGCGACCAATAGGATATTTTTGAAGGTAGGCCTGGAAAGAGATGAGGGGTATGGGGGTGGGAGGGCTGATGGATAGCCAGCCAGGCTGCTCCAGCACGCCACTGCCCCTGAGCAACCCGAGGGACAGTGTGCCCAGGGCCGTGGTGTTACCTGGGCAGCGACCATGTGCTCGGCGTCCTCCTTCTTGCTGGTGGCAGGGTAGAACACAATGTTGTCAATGGTCTGAATCAGTTCCAGCTGGACCACACACTTGATGAGGAGACTGGCAAACAGCTTCTGATCTACATCAGATGGTGAAGAGTGATAAAGACCCAGCCCAAACCACACGAGCAGTCAGAGCGGCAGTCCCACCATGTGCCTGGCACAATGCTTGAGGCGGTGGCCAGCAATGAATGAAGTGGACAAACCCCCAGCTCTGACTGACAGGTAAGATTTAAGGTGAAAAAGAGCATCAAATAATACTGTGAGGGAGAGGCGGTAGGAAGCAGCAGGGCCAGGCTGCAAGTTTAAATAAGCAGAAGTTTCAATAGCTTCAAATCTCCCTCTAAGACGTGGTCCCTGAGCAAAGACCTGAAGAAGAGGAGGGAATTAGCTCTGCAGGCTGTGTGTCCTCCAGCAAGTTTCTATCACCCGGGGCCACCCTACGAGCAGCTCTGGATTGTGCCCTGATCACATGGTTTCAGGTCCCTGCAGTGACTCGCCTCTTTTGAGGACAAAACCTCAGCTCTGCACAGGTATGGGGACAGCTCTTCTGAGTTTTTACTTTCTGGATCACTTTCTGTCCAACTAGAAGCAGGAGCAGCTTTTTCTGCACTTTCTATTTATTTTTTTGGTGGGGGGAGGTGGTTTCCAGGGTTTGAACTCATGGGCCCTTGACCGCTGAGCCACACCCCCAGCCCTATTTTGTTTTTATTTAGAGACAGGGTCTCACTGAGTTGCTTAGGGCCTTGCTGCTGCTGAGGCTGGCTTTGAACTCACGATCCCCCTGAGCTGCTGGGATTACGGTGTGCGTGGCTGCACTTTCTACTTCTGTATACTTCACAACTTTCACCACCTGGAGTGATTAGCAACCTTGACTAGTCAATAATTCTCCATTCTGAATCTCCCCTGTTCAAATCAGCAGTGCAGTCTCTGCCTACTGACTAGACTCTGACCACCCATCTTTGCGTTCTCGATTGCCTGGGGATCAAGGGTATCCTATGTAGAGACCTTCCCAAGTGTTGGCTGACTTGACTACAGTAAAAGCAGCGGTTCCTTCTGACTTACTGTTATAGAATCAGAATATGGGAAAAGTTAAAAGTTTACGTGAAAGAAAACAAGATGGCTAAGCTGTCTTCAAGTTTTTGACAGTGATTTTGAAATTACTTAAACATAACAATTCTCCTTGCAGAATGTTTTAACTTCTGAGAGGCTGGGGATGTAGCTCAGTGGTACAGTGCTTGCCTAGCATGTACAAGGCCCTAGTTCAATCTCTAATAGTGTAAAAGAAAATAACAACACAAAAAAAAGTGGGTATTTTTTTTTTTTTTTGGTATTGGCTATTGAACTCAGGGGCGCTTTACCTCTGAGCTACATCCTCAACCCTTTTTTCTTTTGAAATGGGGTCTCACGAAGTTGCTGAGGATCTCATTAAATTGTGAGGCTGGCTTTGAACCTGTGATCCTCCTGCCTTAGCCTCCCAAATTGCTGGGATTACAGGTGAGTGCCACTGTGCCTAGCTTAAGAGAAAAATGTTTTAACTTTATTTATGTGTGTGTGTGTGTGTGTGTGTGTGTGTGTGTGTATACAAATGCCCATTCCCTGCACAGGAGGTGGGGCTTGAGTCTCAGTCCCGCCCCCCAACACGTGCAGGCATCTTGCTGCATTGACAATGGCTGTCCTGTGAAAAGACAGGCCCACCTGGCTCCACCCAAAAACTCACCACTTCATCTGGAGCTGACCATGAGACAGGCCATCCACCATTGGACCCCGGAGGGGACTGCTATGAAGCAGTTCCTAAGTGACAGTACTGCCATCCCAACATGGTGCCTTTTAAATGGTTTTCCAAGGTGAAGGCCCAACGGGGAAAGAGGTTTACCCTGTTTAAATTTCTGAATCACACAAACGTGTTAGCTGCTTAAAATAAAGAACAAATGAAAACAAACCAACATGGGAAGGGCCTTACTTGCGTATGGTCTGCCCTTCCAGCTGTCGTCAGTCGGGTTGGAGAGCTGGCTCTGGCCTCGCTCTGAGGCATTTTTGTCTATGCTGCTTAAAGACTGGCGGTCCAGGTCCACGTCCTACAGGTAAACCAGAGAAAAGCACCGGGTTCACTTCTCTTCCTACCTGGGCAGATGTGAGTTTCTGACACTGGAGGCCTGGCCTGAATTTCAGTGCCTTCTGGACAAATGAATTATGCTGCGTGTTTCACCCAGACTCCTCAAGGCTGCCGGGAGTGGGGACTCAACTGTGCCCCCTGCCACTGAAGTTTCACGTTTTCCTGTTCTAATTCAGGACACTTCGCTACACACTGTGACGTAACAACGAGTGGGACAATTTTCCAATATGCTCAAATTCAAAATTTAGTGAACACTAGCTAGGTTTTGTTCTGTGTTGTGTTTTGACAGCAGAAAAGAATTTAAAAAACAGAAAATGTTAAAATAGTATGCTTCACTTTTAAGTCATTGCATCCTAAATGCCTTTTAAAATCTATGGTTTTACAGTTATCTGGGAATAAAAGTTAATAAGTCAATTTTTTAAAAAAAAATTTAATTATCTATTTTAGTTGTTGATGGACCATTATTCTTTATTTATATGCAGTGCTGAGAATCGAATCCAGTGCCTCACACAATCAAGGCAAGCGCTCTACCACTGTGTCACAACCCCAGCCCCGTTATTTTTACCCCCCACAACTGCCCAGTAAAGCAAAATATCCTGTCTTTGTGGTCTCACACAAAAAGCAAGAACTACTATTTTCTTTGGTGGCAAGAAAAGCACTATTACTTTAGAAGGGCAATAAGCAAGGCTAGTCACACCAAGGAGCTATTTACTCATTTATTTACTTATTTAAATATTTATTTTGCAGTTATAGATGGACACAATACCTTTATTTTATTTTATTTTTTTACAAGGTGCTCAGGATCGAACCCAGGGCCTCGCACGTGCTAGGTGAGCACTCTACCACTGAGCCACAATCCAGCCCCAAGTTGCTATCTGTAACAGTGAAACATAAGAACTTACCCAGAGTCCATCTTTTTACGGAAAATCAAGGAATTATGACAACATGCAGCCATTGAAAAGACTATTCTTGAAGAACATAGAAAAATGCTCCCAATGTTATTAATGTTGTGTGCCTAGTGATCCTTTGCAATTGTGTGTGGGTCTATTAGGTGTGCATAGTGCACAGACACCCAAAGATAAAACCACAAATGTAAGTTGTGCTTTTTTCAGTGTTGGGCCTTCTATATACTAGGCAAGTGCTCTACCAGTAAGCGCAACCTCAGCCCTAACCTGTACTCTTTGTTGGGTTAGAAAACTTATTTTTTAAAACACTTTCCTCTTCTTCATTTATGAAATACGGAACACTTTATGAATTTGCATATAACCCTTGCATGGGGCCATACTAATCTTCACTGTATCATTCCAACTTTTAGTATATGTGTTGCCAGGGTGAGCACTACTTTCCTATTTTTTTAAGAAATAAGAAGAAGGAAAAGATACCAACAACAACAAAATCCTACCAAATGTTTTTCTGATGTGTCTTCCTCCATTCCTGCAGGTTTCCATGTCAGCAAACTGAAGGGAATGGAAGAGATGGAAAATGGTCAACCTCAAAGGCAACGAGGAGCTTTACGACACCAACTGAGTATGTGAAATAAAGTGCAGCAACTGCATCAACACTTACACATGTGGGATGGTGGTTTTGAAAATATCCAACATACAGGTGCATGTTTCATCCCAGACGTCAGGACTGAATTTTTCCCCATTGGAAATTACTAAGTTTTCTAAGCAATTCGTACCTGATCGAGCCAACTGTTCATTATCTACAAAATAAACATTATCTGTCAATACAGTTGAACTGCAGTTTGGATGCCAACCAGGTCCCAGATGCTTTTTATAGTGAAGTAAGAGACTGCAGCTGGAGGGTCTGTAGGATTTTAATTAATGAAACAATGCTATAGAGAGCATTAAAAGTTTTATAGCTTAATTATGCTACGAAGAGATAAAATGATTTAAGCCGGGCATGATGGTACACACCTATAAACCCAGTAACTTGGGAGGCTGAAGCCCTAAGTAACTTAGCAACACCCTGTCTCAAAATAAAAAAGGGCTGGGAATGTATGTAGCCCAGTGGTAGAGGGCCCTGGTTTGAATCCCCAATACTGAGGAATTGGTGTGGGGGGGGAGGTAAAATGATTTATCATAGTTTTTTTTTTTTATTTGTGTGATACTGGGGTTTGAACCCAGGGCCTCATGTATGCTAACCAAGTTCTCTATCTTTGAGCAATATCCCCATCCCTTTTTGAATTTTATGTTGAGACAGGATCTTACTAGGTTGTCAGGGTTGGCTTCAAACTCACAATTCTCCTGCCTGAGACTCCCAAGTAGCTGGGATTACAGGAGTAACCATTGTGCCCAGCTTGACTTATCATAGTTTTATTGCTAGGAATAGAAGAAAGCAATCTTGTCACTTTAACTGACTCACATATGGAAAATAGTAAAAGAAAATGGAACAGCCAGGTGCAGTAGCACACACCTGTATCCCAGAGACTCAGGGGTCCGAGGCAGGAAAATAACAAGTTTGAGGGTAGCCTCAGCAACTTAGTGAGATCCTGTATCAAAATAAAAATGGGCTGGGGGAATTATTCAATGGTAAAGTACCTTTGGGTTCAATCCCCAGTAACACACCCTTCACCATAAGATGGAACATAGTCGACCAGTGTTTCTGAAAACTCAGTCACTTACACACTACATTTCCAATTTTTGTCATCTAAATAGTATCCATTAAACTGGGTGTAGTGGCGCATGCCTAGGTGGGCTGAGGGAGGAAGACTGCAAATTCAAGGCCAGCCTCAGCAACTTGGCAAGGCCCTAACACACACACACACACACACACACACACACACACACACTCTCCACTGTTTTTTGTCACATATTTAAAATTTGAGTCACTTTTTGAAAGCCTTCTAAATTTAGCCTTGCCCTATACCAAAATTATCTATAGAATTCAGGTCTTCAGTGCTAAATGACCCCTTTTTATGATACACATTAAAACACATAACTACTCAGACCAAAAAAAAAAAAAAAAAAAAAAGTTTACTGATGCAGGCTGTTGATTTTGACTCCAAAGTTAAAAAGCTTCTTTAATGTATATTTCTTCACCAGTCCTCAAGCAAATTAGTAAAATTACAAATAGAAAATCAAAATAATCATCATATTATACAAGATATTTCATTTTCCTTCAATAACTATCTGTTTCAAAGCACTTCTTTCCAGAATGTGTAGGTGCAACAAATGTGCATTTTAAAAAGTTATTTTAATACAGAAAATTTCAAACATAAAAAGTGGAGAGACTAAATACGTAAATTTAAATTTTAAATTTACTAATACGTAAATTTGCCTTTTTTTTTTTTTTTTTTTTGGTACCAGGGTTTGAACCTAGGGATGCTTAACCACTAAACATATCCCCAGACCTTTTAATTTTTATTTATTTATTTATTTATTTTTGTGGTGCTGGGGATTGAACCCAGGGCCTTGAGCATGCAAGGCAAATACTCTACCAACTGAGCTATATCTCCAGCCCTTACTTTTTATTTTTAAAAATATCTATTTTATTTAATTATTTTATGTGGTGCTGAGGATCAAATTCAGTGCCTCACACATGCAAGGCAAGCGCTCAACCACAAAGCTACAACCCCAGCCCCTTATTTTTGAGATAGGGTCTCGTTGAGCTGCTTAGGGTCTCGAAAAGTTGCTGAGGCTGGCTTTGAACTCATGGTCCACTTGCCCCAATCTCCCAAGCCATTGGGATTACAGGTATGCATGACCCCCACCCCTAGCTAAAGGTACATTTTTAAAAATGCAATAACTACATCACATTTTAAGTGCTTTACAAACTGTTTGAGAGGACTGTTTTATGTTCTAATTAAATTTAAAAACATACATTTTCACCAAATTAAATTGTTCACTGGATTCCTTGGCATTACACCCACGCTTTTATATACTGAAAAAAAGTAACCTCTCATAAGGACTATGTAAAACGATACCTAAAGATTTAAAGAATACCTTGTTTAACACACCACTGCAATTGTGCAAATACATCAGAAAGAAGCACTTCATTCAAAGCTTCATAGAACTGGGTAAATACGTCACAAATAGCATAAAGTGCATGATTGCAGGTTGTTGTCATCCACTCAGATTTCTGGAAGAACAATAAAAAAGATAATTCTTAAAGCCACTCTCTCAGCAACAAGAATGGTTTTCTTGTATCCCACTGGCAAAACTACACTGGAAAGCAGTTTAGCAATACTTATCAGTAGTCTTAAAAGTGTCCACACCCATTCACTTAGTGACACTGCTTCCAGGAATCCATCCTAAAGAAATAATAGCACTTGCCTCGAATGTGCAAGGCCCTGGGTGCAATCCTTGGTGCCACCAAAAAGAAACAAGAAGAAGTGGTGAAGATTTGCGGGTAAAAGTCTATGAAGAAAGGTGTTTACTGCAATGGCATCCCGAGACTGAAAACATGGTACACCTGACACCTTGCAATGTGGGCATTAAACTAAGTAGACCACATGAAAGAATATTAAACAGTCATTCAAAATGGTAGTTTTAATGATCAGTAAAAAGTGAACAAGAGATTATACTAAACACTTATATCTGACACCAAATATCTAAATATTAAAAATGATGCCATGAATTTACCAGAAAAATATACAGGGATATTTATGAAGTCATGGCAAAAGGAAAGGGCCTCTAAGTGTGATTCCAAAAGTGGGAGCCAGAAAGGAAAAGCTGGGAGAATTGGTTATTTAAAAACTAAATTTTTTTCCAAGTAAAAAGGAAATAAGAAAAAGTGAGCAACGTCAGTTGCAGTTTATAGAAGCATATTACGACTTCCTTAGAAACCAACCAGTGGGCAGACTCATAAAAGAAGGAGAAATAAACACTCAATGATACAAGGAGGAATATGAAGCTTGCTAACAACTAAGAAAACTCTTCAGTGTGATGTCTTGGCCTATCAGTTAACCATAATGGAACAAATGAGAAGCTGGAGTGAGTGTGGAGAAACAGGAGTGCTCGACTTTGCTGGACAAGTGCAATCAGCTAGATTTATTGGGAGGTCAGTTTAGAAGAACATATCGAAAGGCTCAGTACATTCATGCCCAAACCTGGCAGTGAGGCTACCTGTCCTAAGGAAAAAGAACTAAAGAACACAAATACGAGCATCGCTGCAAAACACGTTCTCTTTTAGGGGCTGGGCGTGGAGGCATGCACTTATATCCCAGAGACTCTGAAGGATGAGGCAGGAGGATCTAAAGTTTGAGGCCAGCTTCAGTTACTTAGCAAGACCCTATCTCAAAATAAAAAGGGCTGGGGGTATGGCTCTGAGGCCCTGGATTAATCCCTGGCACTGCCATAAAAAGTTCATTTCAGTGCTATCTAAAAGAAAAACTAGAAACAACCTAAAAGCCATGGAATATTTATAACTTGGAATATTTTGTAGCCACAACACAGAGGGCTGGGAATGTAGCTCAGTGTGCTTTTCCAGCGTGAGACTGTGGGCCCAGGGTTCAATTCCTAGTACTGTCAAAAGGAAAAAAAAGTTACAGTTGCAGGAAAACTCTCATGTATTAAGAAAGAAGAGTACACGGGTGTGTTGGGAAATTGCTTTTGTAAAAAGAAAAAAGGTGTCTGTCTCACACAAACACAGCATCTGGAGGAGTTAATAAGGGTTGCCCACAGAAATGGGACTGCGGGTGTTTATTTTTTCTATTTTCTGTAATGAATATTATTTGTTTTATAATGGGGAAAAACTTTATATTTTAAAACTAAAGAAGATCAGCTGGGCAGTGGTGGTGCATGCCTGTAGTCCCACTGACCCAGGAGGCAGAGGCAAGAGATCACAAGTTTAAGGCCAGTCTCAGCAACTTGTCGAGGTCCTAAGCAACTTAGCAAGATCCTGTCTTAAAATAAAAAATAAAAAGGGCTGGGGATGTGGCTCCCCAGTTAAGCATCCCTGAGTTCAATCTCTGATACCAAAAAAAAGGAGGGGGGGTGAGATTAGAAAACTCTGTACTATGATTTCAACCATATTTTAGACCATGTAGAAGATGGAGCAAATTTGCCAAAACATTAATTCTAGTGTCTGGATGGCAGAAGCATTAATTCTTTCATATACCCAATATTCCATGTTATGCACATACTACTTTCATATTGGGGCGAGGGAGAGAAGGTGTTCTTGAAAGAATGGTTCAGAGAGCCTTATATCTTCTCCATCTTTAAATTCATGACAAATAGAGGGGCCCAATATACCCCCTCTCTACTGGTGGCCCAGAAGTCTGTGAAGGAACAAAACAATTAAGACAACCCGCTAGGAGCTGCTGAGCTGGCAGACAGTGTCCACAGGTCACTGTGTGATTCCCTCCCAGGTGGGGAGTCTCTTGTGTCTAGCTGA